TGGTTCAAATTTTTTGAAAAAAAAAATTCAAAATCACTTTCTCTCTCCAAAACATCAATCAATCACTTTTTCTCTCCTCTCTCCTTCTCATTCTCAATTACTTTTTCTTTCACACACATCTATTCAACTACAACAAAGAATCAAATCATCTCAAACTCCCAAACTCTAAAACTATTTTCAACCAAACAAACCATATATCTTTCACCAATCACAATACTTTTGGCCATACACAAAATCGTGAACTTTACATCTTTTAATGACACTACTCTTGAGACACTACGTGGTGTTTTGAGAACAAGCTAAAAAAGCTAGCTTTTTAACTTTTTTACACAAAAAAGTCACAAAAAGTTAAAAAGTCAGCTTTTAACCAACTTCTCAAATGAAAATGCTATACAAACAAAAAAAAGTTTACAAACTTTTCTTACAAACTGATGTGGCATGGAGTGATACAACTTTAGAATGTGAAATGAGGCCCAACTTATTAATATTTTAGGTGACACATTAGTTTGTAAAGAAAATTTGTTTGAAAAATTTCTGGAGTTAGTGGTTCTCAGGTTATGGGAAATCATACTAACTATGAAAAAGTACTCTTTATCCTGAATACCGAATTTGATAGTATAATAATGTCTAGAGTACCCATGAGAATCACTATGTATGACTTCTTCCCACTAGCAGATGGCTGAAAAAGAACTTTGCTTATTAATCCTTGCAATGCCCAAAATCTAGATATAATGATTTTCTCTGGCAAGATTTATTTACATCATACTTGTAGTTCTTTGTGCTATAAATCTTGACAATAATTATGAATATGCATTGCAGGGATTTGTTGGGATGGCTAAGGATCTTAACGCTATTGTGATTGCTTTCAGAGGCACTCAGGAACGCAGGTTTGAAGACGCTTGCAGCCTTAAATTATTATTTTTTTTGCTATCTCTTTGGAGCAATGTTTTCAATAAAGCATTCACCATTCAGATCTCCAGTTAACTACTTCTTGTTCTATTACCAATTATGAGTCCTTCAAGTCTGATTATTCTTGCTCATGTCTTTCATGCATTATTCTGATCTTGGTGGATTGGATTGTGTAATGTGTCTCATTAAGTTGTTATAAATGTTGATTACATGTCCTAATGTCTCAAGAGAGAGATTTTAATGTTTCAAGATACAAAAAGCGATGTTAGTTTTACTTTATTACGGAAATCTTCTTCTTGCCATCAATGGCCATTTGTTCATTACTGTTTAATGAATGAACAACAATGTGTACAGCTTACAGAATTGGATTGAAGACCTGTACTGGAAGCAACTCGACTTAAATTACCCTGGCATGCCTGATGCAATGGTGTGTTGCAATAACCTTTGACCAGATACATGAATAAAAGTTTCTTTTTCTTTTTATTAAAAAAAGAAAAAGAAAAATGGTGGGTCAGTACCATTGTTTTTTAATGTCATTTGTGTTTTTTCAGGTGCATCATGGATTTTATTTTGCTTACCACAACACAACTGTACGTTCTGGTGTTGTAAATGCTGTTAAAAGAGCGAAGCAATTGTATGGGGACATTGATATTATGGTTACAGGTCATTCAATGGGAGGGGCTATGGCCGTCTTTTGCGGACTGGATCTCAAGGTAATCATAATGAAGCCTTCTTGATCAGTATGATACACAAACAAAATTTATGTACAGAATTTTCATACAGAATGATGTGGCATCGTGTGTGGTTTCTTCGTTTACAAAGAAAACACCCACCATTGTCCTCATAATTTCACAAATGCCACTGCGATGTCATTATGTTGTTTTGAATTCTGCACAAAAAATCTACAAGCAGATCATTTTTCCTTCTTGATTAGTTTAAAGTTCAGATTTATATTATGTTTATGTTGTTGATCCACATGATTTATCAAGTACTGGCTTCCAGTATGTTATCATTATTATTTTTGTTATAATACCAGCTTATTCCCAGGTCAATCATGAAGCCCGGAATGTTCAGGTTATGACATTTGGACAACCTCGTATTGGTAATGCTGCTTTTGCGTCATACTATAGCCAACTTGTGCCAAATACTATTCGGGTCACAAATGACCATGATATTGTCCCTCATTTGCCATCTTACTATCCGCATTTCGCACAAAAGACATACCATCACTTTCCCAGAGAGGTAATCTTTAGCAACCCAAATTGACTTTGGTATGATTCTGCTAAAACCTTTCCTATATATGACTCTGGTAGTGAGACTATTGGAATCGATAAATGTTATTTCGATAGCTTTTGGTCAAATAGCATGTGAGGTTTTCCTTAACTTCATGTGAGGTGATTCAAAGATAGAAATGCAATTCAATAATTTTAAAAATATTCACAATTAGGTTGAATATTGTGAACAAATTATATATTATTCCCCAAACAACTATTAACAATTTTTCGGAGGCAATTCCTTAACACTCTCTCCCTTCCCCTAACATGCATTGCCTTTTATAAGTCATTTAGTCTGAATAAATTATGTCCAAATTAGGTCAGTGGCATTTTACCTTTTTTTTATATTATGGTTAATTAGTTCAAAGTTCAAACAATCCCTAACATCCAGAATTTTCATACAGATTGTATGGCTTCTTGTGATTCTTTTATTTCAAATCAAAACACCCACTATGTTGGTTTATAATTTCATAAATGGCATTACCACATCATTCTGGATGACTTTTTTTTTTTTTTCATCATATGAAAATTATGTTCGTAAATCATTTTCCATTTTCAGTATTTCTTATGGTTTTATGATCCAAAAAAATGGTGGTTATGAGTTGAAAATGATTCTGGCCAAGCTCTTTGAAACCTAAAAGGAGAGACGTGAAGTTGAAAAGCATAACATTTAACAAACTAATGTTAACAGTTGTCATGGACATCATATTCTTTTGTCTATTTGTATAGCTCACTTCTGCTTTAAACTTTTATAAACCAAACAAGCTCTTTTTCTAAACTGCAGGTGTGGATTCATCAAATTGGATTTGGTACTTTAGTTTATAAAGTTGAGAAGGTCTGTGATGGTTCTGGCGAAGACCCATCTTGTAGTAGGTATGTGTTCGCTTTCTATGATCTTCCTATTAACATTCTTGAAATGGATATTTGTAAAAAATATATTGATATAGAGAAAGGAGAGAATAAATTGTATGTATTATTGATTGATATATATTGATGTACATTACAATGATTCATGATTCCTATATATAGAAGAGGGTGAGTGTGTAGTAGGTAAGGAGTAGGTGAAGTGGAGGTGGTAGTGGTGTAGTGGGTTAGGTTTAGTGGAGTAGGTTTAAGTGGGTGAAGTAGGTGGAGAGTATGTGGATTTAGTGGGTTAGGTTTAGTGGAGTAGGTTTAAGTGGGTGAAGTAGGTGGAGAGTATGTGGATTTAGTGGGTTAGGTTTAGTGGAGTAGGTGATGTGGTAGTGGTGTAGTGGGTTAGGTTTAGTGGAGTAGGTGAGAGTGGGTGAAGTAGGTGGAGAGTAGGTGGATTTAGGTTTAGTGGAGTAGGTGAGGTGGTAGTGTTGTAGTGGGTTAGGTTTAGTGGAGTTGGTTTAAGTGGGTGAAGTAGGTGGAGAGTATGTGGATTTAGTGGGTTAGGTTTAGTGGAGTAGGTTTAAGTGGGTGAAGTAGGTGGAGAGTATGTGGATTTAGTGGGTTAGGTTTAGTGGAGTAGGTGATGTGGTAGTGGTGTAGTGGGTTAGGTTTAGTGGAGTAGTTTAAGTGGGTGAAGGTTTAGTGGAGTAGGTAGATTTTAACAAAAATTAATAGAGAAAGCAAGGCCGACAACCTCGGCTTGAATTCAACCTCGGCGACAAGGTCGAAGCTACATGTATGATGAGAACCCAAGTGGTTTTAAGTTCACACTGGGGGCAGAGAGAAGAAGAATGCATTTTACCACTTGTTGAAATTTGTAGCAATTTACAAATTGGTTAAACCAATATGATGCTTAACCGAAGTTAAGCCGAGATGATGCTTAACCGAAGTTAAGCCGAGATGACGCTTAACCGAAGTTAAGCCCAGATGATGGTTAACCAAAGTCAACCCGAGACGATGCTTAACCGAAGTTAAGCCGAGATGATACTTAACCGAAGTTAAGCCGAGATGATGCTTAACCGACGTTAAGCCCAGATGATGTTTAACCGAAGTTAAGCCCAGATGATGTTTAACCGAAGTTAAACCGAGACGATACTTAAACGAAGTTAAGCCGAGATGATGCTTAACCGAAGTTAAGCCGAGACGATGCTTAACCGAAGTTAAGCCGAGATGATGCTTAACCAAAGTTAAGCTGAGATGATGTTTAACCGAAGTTAAACCGAGATGATGCTTAACCGAAATCAAGCCGAGATGATGCTTTGTTGAAGTTAAGCCGAGATTATTCCTTAATTCACTTGTTGAAATTTGTAGCAATTTACAAGTTGGAGTTAAGCTGATTCCTTAATTCACTTGTTGAAATTTGTAGCAATTTACAAGTTGGAGTTAAGCTGATTCTTTATCTTCACTTGTTGAAATTTGTAGCAATTTATAAGTTGGAGTTAAGCTGATTCCTTATCTTCACTTGTTGAAAGTTGTAGCAATTTACAAGTTGGAGTTAAGCTGATTCCTTATCTTCACTTGTTGAAATTTGCAGCAATTTACAAGTTGAAGTTAAGCCGAGATTACTATTTCTCTTCACTTGTTGAAATTTGTAGCAATTTACAAGTCGAAGTGAAGCCGAGGTTATTGCTAAACACTTGTAGCAATCTACAGGATTAGTTAAACCAGAGAAGATGCTTAACACTTGTTGAAATTTGTAGCAATTTACAAGATAATGTTAAGCCGACATGTGATCATCTATTGAAATTTGCAGCAATTTACAGGTTAAGGTAAAAGCTAAGTATGTTGTTTAAACACTTGTTGAAATTTGTAGCAATTTACAAGCAAATCATTGTTATAACTTGAGAAAAATTTACAGTATATGTTAATCCTTGTTGAAATTTGTAGCAATTTACAAGTAGGCTAGACCGAGATCACCGTTTAAACACTTGTTGAAACTTGAGAAAAAGTTTGCAAAGTTAACGTTGAGTATTATATGTTTCACACTTGTTAGAATTTATGAAAAGTTTGCAGGTCAGTATCTTGCCGAAGTAAAAGTTTTGTAGCTATTATACCCGAGGTATGTAACCCAGAGAAGATTGCACAAATGAGGCAAAGTATGAAAGGCATACAAAATATTCTAAGTATAGAATCATGCAAGAGCAGTTAGAAGAAGATCAAAACAGAATTCGTCGTGATTGATACGCCTTCAGCTTACAACATCATCTCGGGAAGGCCATGGTTGCATACAATGGGGGCAGTTCCCTCAACATTGCATCAACTATTGCGGTTCCCAACAGAACATGGGATTGAAGAAGTCAGAGGGGATCAACTGCAGGCGGAGAATTGCTCCATGGCAGCAATGAAATCCACCTGCAGCATTCAAGAACCAGAGAAGGTAAAGATTGAAAACGAGGACATAGAGGTCCTAGATGATGTCGGCAAGGAGCTAGCCGAGAAGAGTGGAGAGGCACTGAAGAAAATCCTCGTCCAGGAAGGGGATGAAAAATTATTCTTTCTTCTCAAACTTAGCCAAAGAAGAAGAAAGAGAATTGGAAGTTTGTTTGAGAGCAAACATTGAGGTATTTGCTTGGACACCTTATGAAATGTCTGGCATTGACCCCGAGGTCACATGCCACAAATTGAACGTCGACAGGTCGGCCAAACCTGTAATCCAACGAGCAAGAGGGCCAACGTTAATGCACGTCGAAGCAGTAGAGGAAGAAGTAGACAGACTTCTGGAGACCAGGGCCATTCGAGAAGTCAATTACCCGACATGGCTATCAAATACGGTGGAAGAAGGAATGACAATTAAGAAGCAAGGAATGTTAACACTTGTTGAAATTTTTGAGCAAATTACAAGATGAGTTAACCGAAGATTATGAAGTCTACCACTTGTTGAAATTTGTAGCAATTTACAAGTTTGGTATAGCCGAGATAACACTAAAAGACGTTTCCGATATATGATCAACCGAGATGACCAACTAGCTTGTTAAGAGCTGAGAAGGTTGGCAAGTACAAAAATGAAGACCTTAAAGAACTAAGGATTGAAAGCAAAAATCTGGAAAAAGACACAGAAAATAGAAACAAGAATGTAACTCGTAAATCAAAAATGGTGATGAAGCTATCAGGAAATTAAGACAAAAAGATTGCACAGGTGTGTCAAGCCAAGAACAGTGGCAGAAATCAACATATATGTGAACAGTGTGTAGTCAAGAAAATGATTTGGAAACAACGGGTAAAACAACAATGGTGATTAACAATGAAGTAGAGCTTCTTGGAAAGCAACAAGAAATAAAACCAGGAGGAAAAGTGGCTTACCAGAAAGAGGGAAGCTTGAATGAGATTTGCCGAAGTCTGACGACGGATGCGAAAATAAATCACATAAGCTTCACCGGAGAAGAGGAACGAAGACAGTTGCAGAGCTTGAAAGCTTGGAACAATGGCGGATTTAAGCAAAAAGAGCTAGAAAGAAAAAAAAGCCAGAGGATTGAATGAAAAAACAGAAGTCAAGAAGATGACAAAGTTCAAAGAATAAAGCCAAGTACACAGGCACTAAGTAAGTATGTGAAGAACAAGAAAGTAATGAACCAGACATGATGCTAGCAACAGAAAGCGGATATGACAAGAACAGTTCCAGGCATTTTAGCAATAAATCAAAAACTTGAAGACAGACGAGAACAGAAGGCCACAGATGGTAAATAAATAGATTCAAAGTAAATCAGAAGAGTTATGAAAGATTGAGCTTAATAAAAAAGTAAGAATTTATGAACTTACCAAATGAACGCCGATATGAAAATCGCCGGAGTCAAATAGATGACTGGAAATCGGGAACTCACCAGAGAGTGTGAGTGGAGCAGTTGCAAAGCTCTTAGAGTTTACGAATTAATGGAACCGGAACCTCGGTTAGGAGGTGTGATTTCAAGCAGCTTGGAAAGCATGAAACTTGATTCTTGACACTAGTGGACAGTAAAGTCCAGGGAACTTTGAGGTCGGCAAAGTCCAGGGAACTTTGAGGTCGGCGAGTTTGATCTCGGACAGAGGGGCACAGATGAACGAACAGTGTAGGTTCCATCACCTTAGAATACTAAGGTAATAGAACCTAGGGGGCAGTTGTGGGGATATATTTTCTGAGTACCAACACGTGGCAAGGTGACGCCGACGTGTCAGTCGAGGTGCCACGTGTCCTGGTTGTGACGCCGAGGTGATCTCGTCAAGGCCGAAGTTATCTCCGAAGATATCGGAATCCGAGATAAGTGGATAAGGGACAAGAGTCCTAGAATGAAGAGGGAACTCAACTTGGATATGGACAAGAGTCCTAGATTGGGAGAAGACTTCAGTTTGGGTAAAGATAAGACTCTTAGAGAGTTTATCTTTATCCCACTGAGAGTCCCAGATTAGCAGTAATCCTAAGTCCATTAGGGCCAGGCTCCTATTGAGACTAGGATTGTATTGGCTATAAAAAAGAGGCACCCCCATGGGTCTAAGGTATGCTTTTGATACTCAAGCTTGTGAGTTTAGTACTTGATTTATCTTTGAGAGATATACTGACTTGATCGTCGGAGTGCCCCCGGGTGGTCGAAACCACCGCGGGATTTTTATATTTCTGTTGCAGGTCAGTCAAGTGCCATCTATTCTGCCAGTGCTCTCCAGCTGGTTACTAAGCGGGCAGTGTGGTCGGAAAATCACCCACACATATATATAATGTATACTATATATAAGAGGCTTACTATATATATATATAACGTATACTATATATATAGTCTTGTTTTTCTTGTTTTTCTCTGTTTGTGTTTCTTACCAACTAGGAGGTTGGAGCTTGTTCTAGCTCCAAACTCTTCTTTATTGATGTCTTCCATTGTATTTTGTACGTGTTTCGTCAATAAAATTTTCTTTGTCAATAAAAAAAATATATATATATATATAAGAGGCTTATAAATAAATTTGAGAGTGCCATGCCCCGGTCCAGTGTAGTTCTGCCCCTACACGTTACGCATCCATCCCTGTACGTGTTTCATCAATAAAATTTTCTTTGCCCATAAAAAAAATATATATATAAGAGGCTTATAAATAAATTTGAGAGTGCCATGCCCCGGTCCAGTGTAGTTCCGCCCCTACACGTTACGCATCCATCCC